TATGTATATATGTATGTATGTATGTATGTATATATAGCGTTAATCATGACGACAAAGATTACCAAGATCTCATTATATTGGGAAAATGCCACAAAGTGGGCGAGCAGTCATATGTGGCTTTCATGGTTTCCGACTTTGTCTGCTCGAATTATATTTTAGTATGGATTTGGATCTCTAAGTCTATATATATGCATGTATAAATTGTAATGGACGTACAAAATCTGACAAAAAAAAATCACATACGGTAAAACATATAATCTGGTAAATATTTTTTTATAACACTTTATGTTTGGTTTTTACCTATTTGTATAGTGGTACTATCCGCCACTATAAAGTTATAAACAACAATTAAGCAAAATATCAAAATGGCGAAAAGAAATACAACATCATCAATTATCTATTACATAAAAAAAAATGAGTTCGAATTATTACGGAAATAATGTGTGTAAAACTCTATAAAAACATATGATTCGCGTTTAATCTAAACCAAACGGTAAAATGGAAAATTAAATTTAACCTAGCCAAATCAAATCAAATTATAATTAGTTTAATTTTAAATTCGTTCAATATCTATAATGCAGGAACAAATTTCAAAATAAATAATTTCTTAGATCAAATTTGAAGTTAAATTGAGAGTAAACTATTTTTCTGGTTTCTAATTTTTTTTATTTGAACTAACAAACAAATTTCGTTTGGTTTTATTTGTATATTAATATTTTATTCATATCCTTTTTACTACAGTTTTACTTTTTTTGTGTCCATTTAAATCTTGTTGGTTATGCAAAATATCACACAAAATCCGACGTACATTGACTACACAATATTTCATATATATATATATATATATATATAATTTTAAAATCGAGATCGTGGCTCTCGAAATTTAAAGATGCCTCACGTCTTCGGTAATGGGATGTGCAGTCTTCCACGTGTCAAATCTCCATTATTTATGCATAATACTCCTTTTTCTTTCTTACAAAATTAATACGACATCAATAAAATTTTATAAAAATGAATAATTTTCTCACGTCCCATATACAAATATATGGACCGACCTGGATGCCAATTCCTCTCGTGGTCCCGCATACACGGTAACAAAGACTTGCCATCATTGAGCGATTCTTTTATAAGTTGTTTTCATTTTGTACCGCAGTCATTTATTTGATTTTGTTTTAGTTAAGTGTTATATCAACACAAGTTCACAATGATGATTTGGTTCAAAAGCTATATATAATAAATCATCTTTTTAACAAATTAGACATTTCGTGATCTTTACATTGTAACTTGAGAAGATTGTTGAGATATATAAAAAGTATTATAAGATATATAGTATCACGAATATTTTATCAAATATAGAAAATAAAGATTTTGAAAGATTTATAAATATTTTGATATAATATCTAATTTATTTATTTATTTAGTTTGAGACTCTTATATATTTATAGTCTATTTGATTATTAATAAAATGTCATATCATTCTTCATATTTTTACGAATATATCTTGACCGATTAATATTATAGTACAAAATTCTAAACTATTTTTTTCTAAAATTTATATAATATTTTTCCTAATTTTCAGCGTTTTAGTCAATCTTTTCTTCAGATAAAAAACACCAAAATTATTGTATATACCATGATGTTTTTCTCCAATATATACCATGTTTACGATTTAAAATTGAATGTAATGTACTAAGATGCTTATGTCAAATTGAAATGCATACAAACTTACAAATATGTGACCAAGTCCACAAGCATGAGGAAAAAAAACACAAACACTTAGATACAAGTGGCATAATGAATCAAGTGGAAATTCAATATTTAAAAACCTAGTTACATAAAAACCCAATATTTAATTATGCATTATGGGTGAATCGTATTAATTTAGATAGTAGTAGAAAAGTGGGTCCATTGTTTTTTTCGTATGGACTCTATTCAACTCCACATTGCTTTTTCCTCCAAAAAGGCATTACGTAATAATCTTTTTTGTTTTAATAAACGTTATATCGATACATTATCACGAACTTTATATTATAAGGAATTAAGACAAAGTAAAATATGATTGGCGCAATCCCACGAAATGTTTTCCACGTGTCGTCAAAATGGACAAAGCAAGATTGACTGAGAACTAAAAATAATTAATACATTATAATTGATGGGGTTAATAGGTTAAAACATAGTTAATTACGATGATAAAAGTAAAACCTAGTTAGTTTTGTCTGGTGAAATAAGTGAAAAATTAGTGAATAATATAATATAGAGGAATAATTAATAATCAATGATTAATAATTAAGACCTCAGGCTCAGGGTACAGTTGTGATGTGAAGCAGAGAATCGGTTCTCGATATATATTATCCGAAATGTTTTTTTGTTTATTTTTGTAATATTTATATTTATTTAATTATTTTTGTTTGATTCTGTGATATTATGGAATCACACTTGCGAATTTGACCTTTCTTGTTCTCTCATCTCCTCTATCTATCCAAACCAAGAGAGATCCAGCGAAGAGGATTTGCAGCCGAGAACTTTCCCGGGAAAATTTTGAGCTGTTCCAGAAAGTCCCAGAAAATGTGCGAACCTGATGAGGATAGCACCAGAAACGGCGCCATTCCTCCGCTACCGAGGCCTCGGGAGCTGCTGATGGATTTGGACGATCTGGATCTCGACGGTTCCTGGCCGTTGGATCAGATCCCCCACCTCTTCTCGTCCAATCAGTTCATCTCTCCATTCGTCGTCTCCTCGTCCTCCGAGCAGCCTTTCTCACCTCTCTGGGCGTTTTCTGACGGCGGAGGAACCGCCGCTGTTCCCACCGCCGGCGACGACGAGAAGCTCAGCCCCAACTCCGGTGCTCCTCCTTTCCGTCTCGCCGAGTATCCTATCTTTCTTCCTTGTTAGTCTTGGCCAACTTCTAGCTTCTTTTTCTTTTCCGTTACGTTGTGCCCGAGTCTTCAGCAGCGAGTCCATAAATTTCCTTCTGATCCATGAGTCCTCGATGCATCCCTGATTTATTTATTTATATATTTTTTTTTCTTAATTTGGAATTTCCTTCTCGCCAAGATGTGCCTTGAAATTCGAATTTAATTCTGCTCATGGATTGGTTTGATTTTTTCTGGTTTTGACTTTGTTTCTGCTTCCGTTCAGGCGATTCTGTCAATACGTTTCTTGCTCTTTTTGCCTTAATTTTCAGCAAATTCTCACGCTAGCTTTCCATAAACGATCTTTGCTGTCTGAATATCTCAATGCATGTCCTGTTTATGATTTAGAGTGTCATATCACCAGTTCATCTCAATACCGAGCTTTTTCGTTGGATGTCTAAACTCTAGAATCTGAAGGTGAAGAATTCTTTGATAACCGCAGGTGCTGCTTCTTCCAAGGTCGAGAACACAGCAGAAAGAGACAGAAATGTCCAGTTTCCTTCTCCATTAACGGGTCTGGCCCCTCCGGAGAACACAGACAACTACTGTGTCATCAAAGAGAGGATGACTCAGGCGCTTCGTTACTTCAAGGAATCAACCGAACAGCAAATCCTGGCTCAGGTCTGGGCTCCCGTGAGAAAGAACGGTCGTGAATTGCTGACGACTTTGGGTCAACCCTTTGTTCTTAATCCTAACGGTAATGGGCTTAACCAATACAGGATGATCTCTCTCACGTATATGTTTTCTGTGGATAGTGAAAGCGACATAGAGCTCGGACTCCCTGGTCGTGTTTATCGTCAGAAATTGCCCGAATGGACTCCGAATGTTCAGTACTATTCCAGCAGGGAATTCTCTCGGCTTGACCACGCCTTGCACTACAACGTGCGAGGTACCCTTGCCTTGCCTGTCTTTAACCCCTCTGGTCAGTCTTGCATAGGTGTTGTCGAGCTTATAATGACCTCAGAGAAGATACACTATGCCCCTGAAGTGGACAGAGTCTGCAAAGCCCTCGAGGTTCGATTCTCTTCCCTCACACTCACTTCCGTGCATATATACAACTCTTGCTTCATGGCTTCGTGTTTGTCATCACCCGAATCTGGAACATGTCTGAATTCACAAGTGTTTAAGTTGGTGTTCTCCCCTCTCGTGTTATCTCGAGAGGGAGAGAATCGAAAAGGATGGGGTCAATTCCGTGCAACATTGAAGCTCTTTACCTTCATAGACCGCTTTGTTCCTCAGTAATGATAACATGGTTAATAACTTTTGCAGGCGGTGAATCTGAAAAGCTCTGAAATACTTGACCATCAAACCACTCAGGTTAGCCTACAGCTTGTGTACTTTGTTTCCTTGAGTACGGTTTAAGACGCGAGTTCTCAAAGCATTTTGTTTCTGTTGATTCCTTAACGCCCAGATATGTAACGAGGGCCGTCAAAACGCGCTCGCTGAGATTCTTGAGATACTGACGGTCGTATGCGAGACCTACAAGCTTCCTCTGGCTCAAACCTGGGTCCCATGCCAGCACCGGAGTGTTCTCGCCAATGGTGGTGGTCTAAAGAAATCCTGCACCAGCTTTGACGGCAGCTGCATGGGCCAGGTCTGCATGTCCACCACCGATATGGCCGCCTATGTTGTGGATGCCCATGTATGGGGATTCAGAGACGCCTGCCTCGAACACCATCTCCAGAAAGGCCAGGGTGTTGCGGGCCGAGCCTTCCTGAACCGCAGCTCATGCTTCTGCCGAGACGTCACCAAGTTCTGCAAAATTCAGTACCCGCTGGTCCATTATGCGCTCATGTTCAAGTTAACCAGTTGTTACGCGATTTGCCTGCAGAGCTCTCACACGGGTGACGATGACTACATTCTCGAGTTCTTTCTTCCTCCAGCCATTACAGATAAAAGCGAGCAAGATTCGCTGTTGGGTTCTCTGTTGGCAACCATGAAACAGCATTTTCAGAGTCTGAGGGTCGCGTCTGGGATTTCTTTCGGCGAAGAAGCCAATGAAGTGTCGGTTGAATTCATCGAGGCGTTACCGGATAAGAAGCTAAATTCGAGAATAGAATCTATTCATGTACCCTCCTCTGGTTTTGAGTCAAATGTGGGGGAAATGCTGTTAGATCCTCAGCCCGTGGTTCCTTCCTCCGAGCCAGTGAAAGAGACGAGCAACGTGGCCGATGATAATGGCGTAGTTAAAGAGATGAAGAAGCCAGAGAGAAAACGGGGAAAAACAGAGAAAACAATCAGTCTAGATGTTCTTCAGCAGTATTTCACTGGCAGCCTCAAAGACGCTGCCAAAAGCCTCGGAGGTATATACATTTTATCTTTTCTGAACCTAACTATAATATTTATTATAACTATTATTGTTATTGAGATTTTATCTGACGAGCAATGTTCGTGAATGATCAAAGTTTTTCACTTTTTTTCAGTTTGTCCCACGACGATGAAGCGAATCTGCAGGCAGCACGGAATCTCACGGTGGCCATCTCGGAAGATCAAGAAGGTGAATCGTTCGATCACCAAGCTGAAACGTGTGATCGAATCAGTTCAAGGCACGGATGGTGCCCTCGACCTTACTTCCATGGCCGTCGGTTCCATACCTTGGACAAACGGCCAAGCCACTGCCCAGCCGCTCAATTCACCCAGCGGCTACAAAGAGCCTGAGCCACCAAAGAACAACGATTCAACCCACAACGGCTCAAATGGTCACAGCCCTCATGAACCACATGGTTCCCCACCTAGCAACGGCTGCAAACCATCACGGACCAGGGATGACAGCGTTGGGACCCCGACCTCTCACGGTTCTTGCGAAGGCAGTTACCGGGATGAAATGAAAGCCCTAAACCCAGAACCGATTTTCATGGCTGATGTATCTGCAGCATCGTTTTCAATGCCAAACCGGATTTTGGGATCTATCGAGCCTTTTCGGGGAATGCCCATTGAAGAGTCGGGGAGTTCCAAAGATCTGAGAAACCTCTGCCATTCCGTAGCGGCAGATGAGAAGTTTCCAGAATCGAACTGGCTAAACAACGGCAACAACATCTACGTTCGTCCAGAGGAAGAGGCCATGGAAATTACTCGTGTAGCATCAGGGTCAGAGACGAGAAGTGTAACCATCAAGGCAAGTTACAAAGAAGATATAATAAGGTTCAGAATATCATCGAGCTCGGGTCTAATGGAATTGAAGGAAGAAATCGCGAAAAGGCTGAAACTTGACGCAGGTACGTTCGATATCAAGTATCTAGACGATGATAGCGAATGGGTTTTGATAGCTTGTGATGTTGATCTTCAAGAATGTCTCGATATCTCGGGATTTTCTGGTAGCAGTCTCGTTCGGCTCCTGGTTCAGGACGTGATGGCGAATCCCGGGAGCTCTTGTGAGAGCACCGGAGAGTTGTGACCAGAACCATGGCTCTTGTAAATAACTGTTAGGGTTTGGTATTCGGGTTTTCATGTAGCACAAGAAAAGAGTTGGAAGCTCATTAGGCTTAAGGATCAAGTATAAATCATTTGTTTGTATGTGAGAAGAGGAGGATCAGAAATAACTTTTTAACTGTAAACTAACCAAAGTTTTCTAACTTTTCCTTTTTCCGCCCCTTTGTTTTTTTTTTACCTTTTTGGCCCTTTTCTTTTGTTTTTTTTTCCTCTTCAGGAGAAGCTGAATTTTGTGTTTTGGTTAGTATTTGTTTGTTATTTATCTTCTTGTAATAAGACCCATCCCATGTACATTAATTTTTGCAGGTCCGTCTTTACAAAATTTAACTTATTATTAATTTAAATTCAACCTTAAATTAAATTCATAATTTCTGAAATAAATCAATACTAAATTAAAAAATTTATTTGAAAAATTGAAAATCAGTTATATTTAATAAGTTTTATTTTATTTTTTATTATTATCATTAATATGTAAAACGTTACAAAGTTTATTTATTATCGTTAAAAAAAATTATTATATAAATTAATAAATTTTCAAAATTAGTAAATATTTTTATTATCAAAATCTTTTATTATATAAATTTATAAATTCTATACTATTAAATAATTTTAATAGTATTTATCTTTATTATATAAATTTATCATTTTTATTAATTAAAATTTTATAAAATGCATAGGGTCAAAATTTTTCAAAACCAAGGTTGGTCTATGATTTTGTCACATTGTTAAGATATCTATAATTAGTTTATAAGCATCACAAATATATATTTGTGTGAACATTGGCTTTGAAGATGTAACAAATTGTTGTTAACTATTACCCTCAAGCCCACATAATACAACGTATTCAGATTTTTTATATGATCCAAATTTGGATATTTCAACCGGTAAAATGGAGACGCAAAACGTCTATCCCGTTTTGAATTCAAATTTTAAGTTTGGAGAGAGTGTATATAATTCAAATCATAAGTTTACCTCTCGAGATTAGTCCGGACCTTTTAAAATATTAGATTATTCAAAAAAAAATTATTTATATGGCTATTACGAAAACCCCCACATTAGAATACATATTTCAAGAAACATAAGGGATGCAAAAATAGGAAATTGATCGGACGGTAGACATCGCATCAGACACCGAAGCCAATGGATGATTATCTTAAGAGTAGGTGTGGGTGGTCACAGAGGATAATCCCACTTCACCTTTGCCAGACTGTCGTTGCCTCTCTTCCATTATCCTCTGAGTAGACTTGTAGAATGCTCCGTACAGTATCAATTGGGCCACCCCAAATACACCCCCAATCACATTTGGTATCTATAGCCCAAACAATACAAAAAAAGCCCATTTAGATATAATTTATTCAAAAAATAAAAAAAACACAAACAAAAAGTAATTATTTTTATTTTAAATTATATGTTTACGAATAAAATGTTCAATTTCATTTTTCCCCCTTTTTTTTATTTCTATAATTCGGTTTATATGCAATTTTAACTTATAGTAAAACAATTTATAACCATTTAAATTTGATATCGTTTCAATTTAAATACAATTATATATTATTTGGATGGAATTCAGTTTATTTAATAACCACCCATAATCGCAGTACATCAAGATTGGTAACTTACCGCAATGAAGGGGTCAAAAGGCAAGCAAGAGTAAGTCGTCCACGTAACAGCGTTTGCAAACGCAGCCAGCGACAGCAGAAACGGCATGTACTCCACGCTTTTTGTTTTTATCACCATTTTCTTCAAAATTCCATGCAACAAAATAAACTTATAAATATATATATTATAATAATAACGTCATAAAACTATCATGATTTGCAACAAATAATACTAAGAAGGAAAAATCTTCATATGGTTAACACAACTTTACAATCTTTACAAAAAAATCATTTTACAAAATATATCAAATAAATAGCTAAATGTTTAATTTGATATAATTGATATCTATTTTAAATTTATATCTTAAATATTAAAATATTCTAAATAGATATCTTAACTCACGAAATCGATGATAATTCTCAACATCGATTCTCTAACGACGATGTATAAATTAGATATTAATTTTTAATATAAAAAACGAATCGAGATTGTAAATTATTTTCGATTTCGTGAGTTGAGTTATCGATTTTTAATATTTGAAATATCAATTATATCAAATTTAAAATTTTGATATTTACTTGATATATTTTATAAAATTGAGTATTTATATGAAATTTTATCTAATTAAAAAAAGAAATAAACGTACCATAACCGATAGAGGTGAAGCATACATCATGACGTTGAAGACACAACACACGATCCCGACGAACATGGTACGTTTGTGGAAGGTGTGGAAGACAGTCATTGTCACGGCGGCAAGTATGGCCGCAAACGCAATCTCGGCGGCTACAACCGCGATTATGGTCAAACGCTGTTTGCGGTCGGAGAAGAGCAAGAATATGAGGAGGAAAGCGATCTCGATTGCAAGTCCTGCACCGTTGATTGTGATGACCAAAGTGCTGTCGGGGTGCACCATAGGCAGCCCGTAGAGGACCCAAACCAAACAGTTCATAAGCGTCGCCAGGTACGGTACTACCGAGTACTCCTCCACTGACTTGTTCTTCACTATCCGTACAAATGTCGGTCTGTTTTTTAAAATTATATATAAAAAAAAAAGATTTTTATTATCCTTTCCTAGTCATATCTGTTCATATTTGTTAAACAATAATCACGTGAATATGATCGTTACCACTAATACTAGTTGTAATAATCGAATATATGATTTCATTGCATATTAAACGAAATTAAATTGAACTTGAACTTTGGATCGATTCCATTTTTCAAATATCATATTAAAATGCAAATGATATTAGCCAAAGTAATATAGAAATACGGCAAATATATGTATAGATAGAGTTGGTTTATTCAATTTCTATTCTGATTAGGTTCGGTTATTTTATTTTTAAAAACTTATAACCATCTTATTATATTAAATTTGGTTCACTTTTGATTTTGGTTTCGGTTTTTATTGACAAAAATATTTATTTGTAAAAAAAATCAGTTTTCAGGTTAGTTTTTATTTGGTTTGGTTTCAGATATAATTTTTTGATTTTAGAAAAATATAATGATTTGGTTTTTATATCAAATTCAGCTCGATTAAAGCCATGTATTATTCGATTAGTTAGATTCAGGTATTCGATTATTAACCAAATAATATATATATATATATATATATATATATATATATATATACATTGGTAGTAGTTCTCTTTTGGTACAAATCACCTAAAATTAATGCCAAAATGCTTAGTATCAAGTTTCATAAAAAAAACAAATTTTAATATAAAATTATTAATCAAAAGTGACAAGCTCACATGGGTGACAAGAACAAACACATGGAGATGGCGTTTCCTGAAAATATACAAGCCAAAAATGACAGATTCAAACATATAATCGTTAGTACAATTAAAAAAATGAAGATATATATATATATATATACGCGAAGTAATTAATTGAAAAAAAAAATTCTAGACAAAAAAATATTGTTGATTCTTGCATGTTTATTTACAAAAAAAAAAAGATAGGATGAACCTAATATGCCGAATATCTTCCGAGCCAAGTCCATTTGTGTATGATTCATTTTCAACAATTTTCTTTCGATGATGATGATGATGATGATGATGATGATGATGAAGAAGAAGAAGAAGAAGAAGAAGAAGAAGAAGAAGAAGAAGAAGAAGAAGAAGATATCTGATATTTCAAATGCTTCTTATATAGGGAGTAGAGAGGGCTGTCAAGAGGTTGAGGTAATTAGGAGATACAAAAGCAACTATACGCACATAATATTATATATAAGCATAAGCCTTGATGGTTGTACATATATATATATATATCGTGCCTGTTTATATTTATGATGTATTTTTCCTTTTTTACATATTATATTATGTACCATGGTTCTCAAAAAGCGAAGGAAAGAATCTTTTAACATTAAAATCAGCATTTGGATTCTAGAGCTAGATAAAGAAATTCCAGTACATGTTTTAAGAGTACAATTTAATATTATAGTATATATATATATATGTGTGTGTTTTTAGTAAATTAATTATTTTGGATATACATGAATCATATAGAAATACTACTTTTTTTAGATCTATAATATTTTGATTCTTTTAAATTTCCGCCTATATATTTTATATATTTTGATTATATAGAAATAATACTTTTTATAAAAAGTCTAAAACTAAAAAATAGAAATTTTTCGCGCGACAAGTTTTTGTGTAAAACCTAGCCGCCACATATCCTTTTTTATAATAATATAATATATATTGTGACACGTCGATTATTGATGAGCGCGGGGATTGATCGTCAGCGTAGGAAGTACGGATAAGGAGCAACACATACACACGCGCGTATATATCTAAAAGCTTTTTTTTTGGTAAAACACACACACACACATATATATATATATATAAGCTTTTAATGAAATTACTAACCTTTTCTTTATAAATATCGCATGTAATATCTTTTGTTTATTATGTATCATTAAAATGAATATGATGGTAGAGACCTAAATATTTTATGCAATAAACAGTTGGACAATAAATTTTATACAATTAATTATTATTATTATTAAACAAGGTACTCTATAAAAAAAAAAAGATGTTGACATAACATGAAAAAGAAACGTTAAATGAAACAGATGAAGGTGAAAATCATTTGAGAAAAAGAAAAAAAAGAAAAGAATTAGAAACTCGAGATTCTCACAAAACTCAACAAGGACCACCAGCTTGACAAATGCTACAACAAACCCCAAATAAACAGACACTGTACATACAATCAGAGAGGCCCATTTCATGCTACAGCGTCCGAAAAAGGCGCAATCATATGATAAGATATATATATATATATATATATATATATGCGTGTGTGTGGAATTGCGACGCATGTCGTGTGAATATCAGTCAGAACTTGAACCCGAGAGAGGGCCATCTCTTGGCGGAGGAAGAGTCTTTCTTGGCGGGTCGGGGGGCGTTCGGATCGATCAGATTCTGAAGGGATTTGGCTTTGCGGTTTCTGGACCTTCCGGCCTCCTTCAGAAGCTCCGCCAATCTCCTCTTCTCTTCCTCGAAGTCTGGATTCGCTATCCCCAGCTTCTCTTCCCTCACCTTCACCACCTGCTCCAGCATCTCAATTGCCTTCTCTATCCTGCAACACACCAAAAAAAAAAACCATACCCTTTTCACAAAATGTGTATATGTATGCATGGGTATCATCAGCGCAAACCAGTAGCAGTTCCATTCCATGGCAACCCATTTCAGTTCGGTCCCTTGCAATCACGAATGATATGGCAAAAGTTTCATTCTTTCAATTCTCATTGACGCAAGAAAAGGGCATACAGCAGTTATGCCAGTTTCATCATCCGTTTCCTACATCTCAGTGCAATCAAACCCATCCAAGTTCTTTTCTTTTTACCACATCGATCGACTCCCATTTTTTTATGGCATATAACAATGGAATCCCATTCCTTTACCAGTGTTTTAATCTCAAATGGATCGGTTTTGGTGGGTATTCACTGAAAGGGGCATACCTTCCCATGGCGTCGTAGGTGGCAGCGAGATTGCTGTAAACACCGAGGGTGTCCTGATCGCATGACCCTCTTTCACTTTCAAGGATTGATTTGGATTCTTCAAACAGTTCAGCAGCCTCATCGATCTTGAAGAGCTGAACGGAGGCCAATCCCATCTGGTTTAATACCACCCCGAAGAATGCAGATCTCCTCTCCCCTGCCGCCCTTAGCTTCATCACTGCGCTCTCAAATGCATTCCTCGAATCCTCGTACCTTCCCAACATGTAATACATCACTCCCATCCTAGCCTCTAGCCCTGAGATTTTATATAATGCAACTTTAATGTGTCAGAAGAACAAACTCATATCTCAATTACTATGACGAAATTGTTCATTGCCCTCTGATGGGACAAACTTATATCCTGATGCATACCAATTACTATGACGAAATTGTTCATTGCCCTCTGATGGGACAAACTTATATCCTGATGCATACCAATTACTATGACGAAATTGTTCATTGCCCTCTGATGGGACAAACTTATATCCTGATGCATACCAATTACTATGACGAAATGATATAGGAAAAAAGGGTTCTTGGACATGGGGAAAGTCGCTGTGTATGAACAAACTCATATCTCAATCACCAATCAATACAAAACACAAACATTGAATGGGTCTTGATCTATTTTCCTACTTCTCTGATATGCATTGGATAAGCTTTTATAAGATTTGCCTGCATGATCTTTAACGTTATGACATTAACCGAATCCCAATTAAACTTTGATCATACCCATGAACTTTGCAGCACAAAGATTGGAACTTTGCCACACAAAGATTGCAACTTTGACTATAATTCAAGATCAAAATCACATGGCTTCTACGTAGCAATTCGACAGATGATTTACCTGCAATGGTGCTCTGCTGTCCTGGTTTATCCTCGAGCAACTTCATTGCTTTCTGAAGCAGCTTCAATGCCTCCTCGGGTTCATCCACTGACTCGTAGATCGCTGAAATCTCTGTCAATCCACCGGAAATTTCCTCCACAGTCGTGCCAGGAACCGGCTTGTTGTATATCCTCAATGCATTCTCGCAGTAGGACTTGGACTCGCGTAGTTTCCCTGTCCTGTGGTATAGCTCAGCCAACCTGACAAATACAGAAGCTACCAATGGATGGTTCTCACCTTTAGAGGACTTGAACACAGTAAGAGCCTTCTGGTACGAGAAAACAGCCTCATCAAACCGGCAAAGCGCCATGTACATGTTCCCGATGCTGACATCAATGGAGGCAACCTCAGATTCTTGTCCGTTGGCGATCATGGCCATGCTGGAGAGGACGAGGTGTTCAAGGGCATTTTCGTAATCTCCTTTGGCCTCACAAATGATGGCCATGAGCCTCCGGTCAGCCGCCTCCTCCAGAGAGGCCGGCTCGCTATGTGCCCGGTGGATTTCAAGAGTCCTCTTGCACAACTCCTCTGCTTTATCGAACTGCATTGCCTGAACATAAGCTTCTGCTAAGTACCTGAAAACATTATGAGATTTTTTTTTTAACTTCAGAATCAGCTTTCATCAAATACACTTCAAATCTCTATGCTTCTCTGGTCAGAAAAACCAAAGGAAATTTCAGACAGATTCAGTCGCTAGAGGGTTGAGTCTAAACCAAAGTTATAAACTTTCAGAAAACCCATCAACTAAATACGGCATCACATTGATTATTTGCTAAAAAAAGCAACAGAAAATGCAGAGTTTTTTAATTGCACGGTTAAGTTTCCGTAATTACGACGAATATCAAGGAAAGAAGAACCTGCAAGTTTCTCCTACTCGTGGATCCGTATCACCCAGGGTCTGGATCTGGATCTTCAACCCTTCCTCGTAGGAAGCGATGGATCGATCGATCTGACCCAACATCGAGAACGTATCTCCGAGCTGCATGTGGCCGGAAAACGCCGCCAGAGCATGGTCGGATCCTCGGGTCGGATCGGGAACCTGGATGGCCCGCTCCAGCGGTGGGACCGCCTCCTCGAACCGGCCGAGGCTGCAGTAGATGGCGGCGAGCACGTGGAGGCTCATGGCGAGGTCGAGGACGGGTCCGCCGTCTCCACCGCCGGGGACCGCGGGCGCAGCGGCCGCGTAGCAGCGCTCAAACGACTTGGTGGCGCGGATCGCGTAGTCTAGGGCTTTGTTGGGTCCTTCGCCGGAGGCGATGGCGTCGCGGGCGAGCTTTAGGAGGAACGGGCCAAGATCCGGGTTGTCGAGGGACGGATCGTCGGCCGCGGCGGCGGCGGAGGATAGACTCGGCGAGCCGGGTTGCTTTTTCCCGGGTCGACCGGGGGAGGGTTTGGATCGGGATGGGGTTGGAGATGGGGACGGTGGCTTCTTGATCGGAGTCCGGGGCGGGTTCGCGGGTTCGGGTGGGAGGAGCTGAGTCTCCGGCACGGCGACGCGCAACGGCGGCGCGTCCGCCGGAGTTTTGATTGAGACGATACCCGGCATTGCTGATGTGTCTGACAGAGAGGGCGAAAATGGTGATTTGGATTTGGATCCAGGGGGAGACCGAGTGGAGAAGGAGACGACTCGGTCAGTGGTCAGTGAGAGAGGTTAAGGGTAATATAGTAATATTCTTTCGAATATGGAGGAGATAAGATAACAGTCACTGAGTGGTCAAGTGGTAATTTACTTTTTAACCCGAGGGTAAAGGGGTAATATGCTCAAAGACGTGATCTTCCCCCCCCCCCCTATATTTTAGTTTCTTTGATTTTATATGTTTATTATTTAACAGTTTCCTAATTTAATATTCACCATAAATTATGCCTACATTAGACCATCACGTCTTCTTGATTTCCCTTTGACACTTGCTAGATGATATTAAACTTTTACTTTTAATAAAGTATGGCAACACTTCACAAGCTGCCGCGTGGAGCTCTCTCATTGGCTGATATATTGGTCGGTACATGCGGTTGTATCTATCCCTTGTGCCAGTGAGTAGTTCGCGGGAAGTAGTAACCGTCAAAAAAGGACGAAACTTTCATCTCGCGTAGATATTGTCAAAACCGATGCGATTGCGCCACGTGTCATCCACGGAAAAGAAGGGCCTATTGCCAGCTGTAGAATAAGAATAATATTAATCTTATTGTGTGAATAATAATAATAATATGATGATGGCCTGGCTTGACGGTCCATGTCACCATAATCAGCAACAAAACACCACCTTAATTCATTTGATTTGGCCACTAATCCGTCCTTCATTAATGTTGAATAAATAATCGATGGTTTAAATTACGTCTCGAACGCGAAGATTTTGGTCCTAAACTTGGAAAAGACGAGAAACTCAACCATGAACCACCAACAAATATACCTTATTTAATTTATTTTCAAAAGATAGATAAATGGTAATTAATGTTTTTGAATTCACTCATTACTCGAAGTTCTCAAATCCGTTGTTCTCAAAACTCTAATCGAAACCGGTAGCCCACGATGGATGAAGACAGCATCAGCATACTCACCAAAATTTTTGGTACAGTTTGATTCGAAAATGATATCGAATTTTTTTTGTTCGGTTAAAAACAGTATCGAATTTGTCTATTTGATTCACGATACCAAATTTTTCGATACGTTTCAATTCGGAAACGATACTGAATTTTTCCGGTTTGCATATATATATATATATATATATGCATATACATATATATATATATATTAAAATTATATATATTAATTTAAGATATATAATTTTAGTTAATATGTAGTGAATTTAATGGGTTTAATAGATCAAAATCGGTTAACCATTTTAAAAAATAATCAAATAAATTAATCTATTTGAGTGTCTAATTGGTCTAGGTCGGGTCAAGCCACCCATCATCCGACCCATTTTTACATCTATACTTCCGTCACATAATCAACAGATTCAACAATAGATTTGATTTTATTTTTAAAATTTGTTGTTTGCTAAACTATTTCTTAAACTTTTCTTGTATATTTAATTTAAGTTATATACTATAATTTCAAGAATTTGTTCTTTATTTTAAAAATGAGTGACGGATTCAAATTCAAAATCAACGAATTCGTAGGAATCTGAATCTATTGGGAATTCACAACCCTAATTCGTTTGGGTGTAGGCTTGTTTACGTTTTTTTAATATGATTTTAAATTAGGTTTATCTTGGAAAGAACGAAGCCAATAAGGTTGGCGAAAAAGAAGAATCCAACCGGTCAAACACATGTACATATACACATATACATATATATATATATATATATATTCAGTCGCTAGAGGGTTGAGTCTAAACCAAAGTTATAAACTTTCAGAAAACCCATCAACTAAATACGGCATCACATTGATTATTTGCTAAAAAAAGCAACAGAAAATGCAGAGTTTTTTAATTGCACGGTTAAGTTTCCGTAATTACGACGAATATCAAGGAAAGAAGAACCTGCAAGTTTCTCCTACTCGTGGATCCGTATCACCCAGGGTCTGGATCTGGATCTTCAACCCTTCCTCGTAGGAAGCGATGGATCGATCGATCTGACCCAACATCGAGAACGTATCTCCGAGCTGCATGTGGCCGGAAAACGCCGCCAGAGCATGGTCGGATCCTCGGGTCGGATCGGGAACCTGGATGGCCCGCTCCAGCGGTGGGACCGCCTCCTCGAACCGGCCGAGGCTGCAGTAGATGGCGGCGAGCACGTGGAGGCTCATGGCGAGGTCGAGGACGGGTCCGCCGTCTCCACCGCCGGGGACCGCGGGCGCAGCGGCCGCGTAGCAGCGCTCAAACGACTTGGTGGCGCGGATCGCGTAGTCTAGGGCTTTGTTGGGTCCTTCGCCGGAGGCGATGGCGTCGCGGGCGAGCTTTAGGAGGAACGGGCCAAGATCCGGGTTGTCGAGACATTGTCTGCAATTGAATGATTTAATATGGTGTGTTCTTGCAGCGGCATTGAAGATGTCATCGCCAAGTTTTCCCAGTTAACTCCCCAAGAAAGGACGAAAAGGTTTATTATGTAAGACGTGTGAATTCCTTCTCCTCTTTCCTCGAGAATCCAAATCGGATTCAATCACTTTTCCGAATGAAATTTCTCCGTTACGACATAAAACCATGAGAACCTTGTCCCCTTCCCGTGGCCACGCCCTCTCTTCCTCTGTAATTCCCACCGTTAACCCTAGACGACGACGACGTTTGTTGTCCGTTCTCTTCTCCTTCCTCCGTCTCGCTTTTACTGCTTCCATGGCTTCCGGACAAGAGTTCAAGCCTCCGTGTTCGGACACGGACTCCGGTCCCGTGGTCCCCACCACGCCACTTGTCACTCTCCTCGAGCGCCTCCAGCAATATGCCCTCCTCTCCTACCCGAACTCCTCCGCCATTGACCCGAAATCCTACGTCGACTTGTCCCTCAAGCACCGTCACGACCTCCCCGCCGCCGAGTTAGCCTTCTCCAAACTCACCGGGTCACGTATCTCGCCGCTTCCGATCCACGAGCTCGAAGCGTTCATCGGAGAGTACTTCGACGGTGCAGGGGACGATCTGGTGTACCACGAACCGGATGATTTCGTCCCCGAGCCGCTAGGGTTCCTGCCCAAGGTGGAGAACGAGGAAGTGAGGGCTTGGGCTCGTGAGGTTCACGCGCTGTGGAAAAACTTGAGCCGGAGAGTCTCTAACTCAGTCAGAAACTCCCCGGACCGGCACACGTTGCTTCCATTGCCGGAGCCAGGGATCATCCCCGGTTCCAGGTTCAGGGAAGTGTATTACTGGGATTCTTACTGGGTCATCAGGTAAAAGCTCCGATCATTACAGTAACAAACCGCGTTTACTTGTGACAAAAGTAATCATAATTCTGTGTTCAATGTGAAGAGGACTTCTTGCGAGTAAAATGTACACCACGGCGAAAGCTGTAGCGAAGAATCTGATTTCACTTGTGGAGACTTACGGCTATGTTCTCAATGGGGCAAGGGCTTATTACACTAACAGAAGGTGGATGAACCAAAGTGCAACACTTTCTTGTCTATTTGCCATGAAAATCACCTTAATCTTTCCATGTGGCTCTTGTTTGTGTATTGACATCAGCCAACCACCTCTCTTGAGTTCGATGGTTTACGAGATTTTCACCCGAACTGGCGACAGAGAGCTTCTCAGCAGATCTATCCCGGTTCTTGTCAAAGAGTACGAGTTCTGGAACTCGGGTGAGTCCGTGAGATTACATGTTTCGTGATTTCCGCAATATTTTGGTAAAGGTTTTGTATCTAATGGCTTATCATTCTCCTTAGGTATGCACAAGGTGATTATCCGGGACCCTCTCGGTTGCAATCACACATTAAACCGCTATTACGCGATGTGGAATAAGCCACGGCCCGAGTCCTCTGTATTTGTATGATTCCCTATTCCCTTCCAGCTTTGCCTTAACACTATGGTTTAGTATTTTGAGTACGCATATGAACTGGTAGTAACATCCCCGGGGGAAGATATATCGATCTCTCCGCTCTGTTTTTGCTTCATCCAGGATCACGAATCTGCGGCAAGGTTCTCGAGTGCGTCAGAGAAACAGCGGTTCTATCGCGATCTTGCCTCGGCAGCTGAATCAGGGTGGGATTTCAGCTCAAGATGGATGAGGTGAAGAGCTTCTTCCGCTTTACCTGTCTGTTCATTTTGCCCGGCTTTCTCATCTATATCCCGTGTCTTACGATATCTTCCACTCTTGTCTCGAGATCTCTAGATGAATCAACGAGTTTTTTAGTGAGGGTTTTGGGGTTTTAAGCTATGAAATTCTGCAGGGACCCTTCTGATTTCACGACTTTGGCCACAACATCGGTCGTGCCCGTCGATCTAAACGTCTTCATTCTCAAGGTTTTCGCTTGAAACCCTCTTGCGGAAACCTCTTTCCGATTCATATTTGGTAGAATAATACCCATTCTCATACAATATATTATCCATCACTTGTTTCTGCAGATGGAACTTGACATAGCTTTCTTGATGGAGGCTTCCGGAGATAGAAATGGTTCCGAGCGTTTTCTCAATGCATCGAAAGCGAGAGAGAAGGCTATCAATGCCGTGCTTTGGAACGAAAACGCGGGACAATGGCTCGATTACTGGCTTACCTGCAATGCTGAAGTAAGTTTACATTACACGAGTCGGTTCAAAAGTTCGAGTGTTTTTTCTTCGAAATATCGGGTGCCGTCAACCGAGCCGTATTCGACAAACACTTATGAGTGTGGTAATGAATATCTGATTCACGAGCTTTCGTTATCAAGATTGTCTCGTCTCGATTCATATGACGAATGCCTCCCTCTTAACTTTGGAAAGTTTCGAATAGAATCTCTGACGATATTGCCTCTGTTTGTGTGAGTGTCTTCAGGAAACTGAAACGTGGGAAGCTCAGAAACAGAACCCAAACGCTTTTGCATCTAACTTTGTCCCAGTCTGGATCAGTCCGTACAACTCTGGTACGAGGAATACAGTACAATTCATACTTACATATGTATGTCCTGTAATCGTTTTATCGGGTTAATGCTCCGGTCATGCCATGTTATGTAGACGAAAATCTGGTCAAGAAAGTCGGGAAAGCGCTTCAAGACTCGGGCCTGATCGCTCCGGCCGGAATAGCAACCTCCTTGATCAACTCAGGGCAACAATGGTATTATATCTAACAATGCATTTGAACAAAAAAGAGCATCTAAGATTCGGTTTTCGGAGGGATGTAATCGATGGAATGAATGGAAAAAGGGATTTTCCGAACGGATGGGCGCCACTGCAGCATATGATAGTCGAGGGATTGGCGAGATCGGGAGTGAAAGAAGCGGCGGAGATGGCTGAGGAGATGGCGAGAAGATGGATCAGAAGCAGCTATGGCGTGTACAAGAAGACAGGAACAATTCATGAGAAACTCAAAGTGGATGAGTTCGGTGAATATGGTGGTGGCGGCGAATATAAGCCCCAGGTAACTCTGCCCCCATACGATTATTTATTTAGTTTTAAAAAAATTCGTATAAATACACATATCAATTAACATCTTTAAAATTTCTAATAAAATACATGGATTTTTAGAGAATTTTTGTTTAAATCATGAATTTTACCAAAAAAAAAAACAAAAAATATCATGAAATTTTATAAGAATTCTAAAAAAACTACATTTAAAATTTAAAAAAACGACGTTAACTGTTATGTAATTTTGTAGAGTGATTGTTAAATTAATGATTTTAACCAGAAATTAAAAAAGTTATACATTTTTTGAAAATTTTAAAATTATGGAAGGTGATAACAAATTTATTTGTATTATGTTTTTCCTTTAATATTCCATTGTGATAGAGATAGTAAATGATTTGTAAGTGGTAGTAATCTGAAAATGTAATAGGGTGTATAAGTTGCAAAACAAAACTATCGGGGCTAAATGTGGGTTTTATTAACATTTTAAGGTTTTGTTTTGTTATATTTTTTAATCTAATAATTGAAATTGGTGATGAAAATGCAGACTGGGTTCGGATGGTCCAACGGGGTCATATTGACGTTCCTCGAGGAATTTGGATGGCCTCGTGACCTCGCACCGTAGATTAAGGTATACTTTTATCGTATAGAATTGTTAGGTTAAATCACGCCAGTGATTTATAAATATTGAATAAATATTTGATGATGAACAAATTATTTTTACGGGTACTAACCATCTGTTATAAAAAAAATATATAAATTTCGGATTACATGTAAAAGTATTGATATTGTATTGCGTACGGATATAATAAGATTAATAATGTACGTCACTTAATATTGTTTAAGGAGATGATTTCCACATAAAATATATAATAAGATTACAAGAAGATGAAAGGGAATTTTATAAAAGCTGGTGGGTTAGTTGCTATACATAGTTTTGGATTAAGCTGACAACAAAAACTTTTTTTGTGTTAATTGTGTAATTAAAAAGATTTGGGTGGGGTTATTATGGTACTTTAATACCTGTTTCTTCCTAAACCATTTGATAGATTCTCCCAATGATCTGAGAAAAATAACCTTTTTAAAAGGTTTTCTGAAAATGTTTTTCTATGCACAACTTTCACTCGTATATTTCTGATTTTCTATACATTTTTAATGCAGTTTGATTATAAAATCTTCATTATTTTGTTGAGATAAATCATTTATTTTTTGGACCCGCCTTGCTTTTAATTAATAGGATAAAACTTTACTATGTTCCTTCCAATGTAAACTGTTTCCGAAATATATAATTGACTTTGCAATAAATATTTCAATATAAAGACTTGCTAATGTGTTAGAAAATATGCTAAAACACCTAGTTATTGATTATCTATAGCAATATCCATAAAAAGATCCAAACAATATGAGAATCATATTTGTGTGATGGTGAACACTTTGCAATGGATGAATGTACTGGTTGGTCTTGCAATTCTGAATAATATATTTAAATAAAACCTAATTAGTAATTAACCTTTAAATTTATTTACACAACAAAAATGAAAATACAAGATTACAAGATGAATCCCACCAAATCCAAACTGTCAATATATATATATTGGAAATCTTAGTTTCGTGAAGGGCCATGCCACGCTAAAGAGTGGCAATCATTGAAGAAGTTGTACTCCTCCTTTCAATTTAAAAATATTAAAAATATTAAAAATCTTTTAAAAAAATAAAATGTTTTTCACTCAATTTCCTTTCATCTTCCACTACATCATACAATAAGCTTTTAACAAATAGTTTGAGAAAAAAAATATTTTCATAAATAAAAATAAAATAAAATCATTCAAAGAAATTTGCGATTATAAATGCAAGGAATCAAACACCTAATTTTGTCGCTACATGGTTGGGAAATTTGGGTAAGTGGGAGGCAATGACAAGATGCCTCGTTTCATTAGCAGTCTCTAATTAACAATTAATCAACTATCAAAAGGGTTTTATTAGTCAAATCTAGTCGGCAAAAAATACAATCAGTTAATTAATTATTGGGTTTGCTAATTAGTGATGCCTTCTATTTTATTTTATATAAGAAAAAAGTGTATGTATGATTAAAAAAAATTGCTAGATTAGATAGAGAATCTTCGTTTGATATAATAAAATTACACCGGATAAATCGTTACCTAATAAAAGTAATATATAAAATATTGATGAAAATTTTAAACTATATATATAATGTTAACTATGTCTACTTAATAGGTAAATGTTAAACATTTTTTTACCTCTTGATTCTAACTTAAGTTAACAGTTCTTCCCTATCTAGTTTCATAAATATAGAAACCAACACTATTTTACAAGAGATATATATATATATATATATATATATGGTTATTTTAGAATTTTTTAAAAATATATATTCATTTGATTTTTTGTGAGATACATTTTCTAAAACAATTTATTTTCTATTTTTTAATTATTAAATTCAATGACATCAAATAATTAATCACATTATTACATTAGAAATACATGTATCTGAAAATTATATTCTTGGGGATATGCAGCAAATTTATTCATTGACAATCCCCTTCGTGGACTGACATGGATCACTTTATTATTCATCCTTTTTATATTTGTTTTTAAATTATTATTTTTCTTATATGATTATTTTTGTAAGCCACAAATTGTCCCATGACACCTTTTTAGCTTTGATAAGGAAGAAGCCATTCCACACGTAATCATTTGTGCGGAAACTTTTTTCAGAAAGGCAAAACTCAGCAAAATAATAATAAATAAATAAATCAAATAAATTGCAGGGAAATTCAGATACAGACCATATACAATTATCATAAGTAAAATCATATATATGAATTTCAGGTCTAATTTTTTTGTTATTTGCTTGTTATGTTAATACATTTTCATTTACGCATAAAATAAATAAAACAGTTGTATATATTTTTATAATATAATGTGGTAAAGCAGAAAATAAATGTGATGACAAAAAATGGTCCCTCGTTTAGGTACGGGCAAATGCAAGTGCTCCAGTAAGCTGGTTTTCCATTATCTATATATTTTTCCTTCTACTTTTCCCATTGTTTCTGTTCATAACAAAAGGCCATATATATATATTCTTATATTTCTCAATTTGTAGTAGTTGCAGAAAATTATAAGATTAATTATACTATCCAAATACTGGTTTCATTTTCGACTTTTTTCGAATTTAAGATTTTCCCCCAAAAAAGTAGACTCATTCAATTTTTTACTTTTCCATATCTTTACGTTAGATTCAGATTCAATTATTAAAATACATTAATCCAAAACATTTTTATATTAGTTTTATTTTCATTGGAATTCGTTTAATTTTATTTTAAAAAAATCATGTATAATTGGTTTTAAAATAAAAATCGTGTCATATTATGTATCCTTTTGTTAAAATATATTCACAACAATTTCATTGTTAAACATGTTTACCCATGAATAGTTTCACACGAAGATTTATAAAGTTTATATATATATATATATATATATATATATATATATATATATATATATATAAGAGAAGATAGAATATATATATAAATA